TTAAAACCCAGGTGGATATAAAGTAAGCTTACCAAATTGCCATGTAATAGTCTTCATCCCTTCAGGTGCATTTTTATTGATACCGAATACTTAAAAATTAGTTGTTGGCTTAATTTATTGACGTAAGTAAAATAAAATAATTATTTTTCACTAATCTGCATGTTCTATAAGGTGCAAAATTTTAAAGCAATTCAAGATTGAGGTTTTCCAATTTCTAATTAATTTAACTCACCAAGTGTACAAAAACACAAAGCAAAGTACATATGTATCACGATATGTCGTACAAAAATATATGTATGAGCTACAAACATGAATAAATATCTAAAAATTCAAACAACGAATGCCATGCACTTTGTTACTAACCGTTGCTACGGGAACTTTCCAGATGTCCGACCAATATTTGGTCAAATCGGGTGGCAACATACATAAATATGTTTCTACTCTTACAATGGAAGTTTTTACTTATCTTGTTTATCGTATGGCGTGACTGATTTAAGCCACATGTAAAAGTCCATTCTCCAAAGTGACAGAGGAAAATATTTATTTATTCATTTCAAAACTTTGCCACATAAACCTAAACATGGCACCACGCGACAGGGGAGTGGTTCAGTGACCATGATTTACCTCGACAATACAATGTAAATAATTTAGTGCAATTGATCAACAAGTCACATGCAATGCGAACTTTCTAGATCGCAGCCGAAGCAGGCCCCGATCTAGGCATGTCAGCTTTCCGGGCAAGACAATCTCTGGCGCCTCGGAGCTTGCAATTTTTTCAGTGCTGGGCCAATTGGATGAGTAGAAGGGTGTTTCAAGTCTCTGGAGCCACCTATCTTAATTTTTGAAAGCTTCATTTTTTGTATCGGAATTTGAGTAATGGATTTAATGAGAAGGCATTTAGTTTGTCTAACGAGACTAAATCAATTTTTCCTAGCAGTCATGACATTTGACACCATTTTCAGGGTAATTCTGTACCACTCGTCCCAAGGTTGCAAGTGGTAAATATATATCACCAAGTGAAATTTAATGAGATTTAATGACATACATCAATCATTTCATTTGGGCATGAGTGAGATAAATGAGAAATAGTGAGATTTGTGGCTCCATCTAGTGGTAATAGTAAAATACTCTTAGTAGTGCATTACGATATCCGCTAGATGGAGCCTATAAATCTCACAATTTCTCATATTTTTCATTAATCTCCCTATTTCCCACTGAGATGAGATTTGTGAAGGTGAGATGAGATTTCTGCAACCCTGACTCGTCCCGAAAAGTTTTCCAAAGCTTATAAAAAGGTGTGTTTGTTAAACTCACATGGCACGTACCGTCTGCAGAGCTTTATGATTTTTTTGCTGTGTTTTCGCTATTACTGGTTACAAACCAGTGGTTTGTAATATATAGTTCTGCGTCGAAGGAGTAAATTTAGTGCAATCAGATACGGTACGCAACATACATATTTTTTTTAAACAGCATATGTACAATGGCTAAATTTCACACCCAATAATCCAATAGACATTCCTGCAAAAATATGTTTATCACGTGTTTGAACAATGCAATAGAACATAATTGTTATGAATTTCGAAATCAGTCTGCCAGTTTATATGCACATGTGAATAGTTATCGAGCTGAATTAATAAATCTCAATCCCAAACGTCACCGGGAATCAATTTTTTTTTCTCAAGTCTACCCTGGCACAATACATGGCTAAAATAAGGATGGTTTATAATAAAATCGTGCATTTTGTGAATCTTAGATTTTTGAATTTTACACGGTTAGGAGTGTTACGCTGTTGTGTTATTTATGGATGCTAGATACAAGCAAAAATATGAATGCTATATGCATCTAATTCTGTAGACCATCAGGCATTTTTTGAGTTTAAATATGTATCACCAAGCTCAAAATTTATTTAGGAAAGCTTTTTTTATAGTTTCTTAGCCTACCAATCTTAGGTGATGTTAAAGATAGTGAGTTCAAATTATGAACAAGCCAGGACAACTATACGCCCTTACCAATCTTCCAAATCTCAAGGGGAAATTATATATATGTAATACTTAGGAAGGTGGAGTTTTGCGAGCAACCTTTGTATCTAATTGTCATTAAGGCCTCTGATATCAGCCCGATATTTTTTTTGATTCGGGTACTTTTAGCAGAGGTTTTTCTCGTAGAAAAGCGTGTGCTTTTTATAAATTTTGGAAAACGTTTCGAGACGAATCAGTGCAGAATCAGAATGAGTGTAAAATGTCATAACTGTTTGGAAATAGTGATATAGACTCGTTAGACAAACTAAGGGGCTTCACATTACACCCAATATCAAAATTCCAAACGAAACATAGGGCTTCCAAAAATTAATACAAAGTGCCTCCAAAGACTTGAAACACCCAGTAGACCGAGCTCTGAAAAAATTAAAAAAATAAAATAAAAACCCGTTTCCAGGAGTCAATAGAATAATGTTTCATAGAACGGCAACATCTGAAAAAATTGCCAGCTTAGAAACGCCAGAGACTTTGTTGGCCGGGAAGCTGATATGCCTAGATTGGGACCTGGTTCGACCAAAATTTTGCATTGCATGTTACGAATTCATTTATTAAGTGCACCAAATTATTTATGGTGTATTGTCGAGGCAAATGTCGATCCTCACTGAACCACTCCCCTATCGCGTGATGCCAGGTTTATGTAGTCACAGGTTTGAAATGAATAATTAAATATTTTCCTACATTTTTGAACAATTTTAGCTTACTTTCATTTACTTTGTTTTATTCATCTGAAGGATACAAAGTTAGTATTACATGAATTTGACGATTCCGTTCGAGTAAAATTCCAGTCGTTGAATTTAAAGTGCTTACTGGCGTGATTATCTTTGGTCGTCAACAACGCACTTGAGGTTGGGTAAACACGAATATGTGGTTTCAAACCGTGCAGATATCATTTCATCTCATACTGAAAGATTTATGTCTATTTGGGTCAAAATATAAAAGTGAATAAGATGTGTCGGACTCAAATTTGTCAGAATTATACCAATTAAACCGTTTAGTCGGAAAATGTTCTAAACCTGTATTAAACCTGCTCATAATTTATGACCGCAATTAAAGTAAAAATGAAGGAAAACCAATTCAAAAGAATTAGGAATGAGGATTTAAATGACGAGGAAAACATTTTGTTTTTCTTTCACCAGACTCCTAGAAATTTACAAACCTTAATGGAAACAATGCATACATAACGCTAAGTTTTCCATACTTCATATTCGATACTTGTGAGAATGTGGGTGGCTAACTAAATCTTACGTAGCACTACCCTGAGATAAATAGATTAACCGTGCTAATAAATACTAATTTACCTACTTGCGCTATCATATAAAAAGGCCGCAATCCCAGTCCAACTGGCACACAAATTTCAAACACACCAAACTAATTACTCCTCCCCGAGCCGACTTGGAATTTCCAAGTTGAAAACCAGTCCAGTTTAAGAAAACTAAAAACATGATGATCACAATTTGCATCGTTTTCCCGCCACAGTACTTATCGCCAACGCCAAGGGCTACACCATACCTGACCAGGATGTGGCTGCCAATGATGAAAATGGTGAGCAATTAGTTTGTGGAATATACATCTTTGTACTACATACCAGTGCGGAATTTTTAAATCTATCTAAGCCATCGCTTGCAGCAACATCGGCATCCAAGTGGGTCGTACTGCTGCGGGTTTACGGCAAATGGTTGCTTCAAATGCAGCATCCGGGGCGAAATGCGAAATGCGGATGTGACAATGCTTGGTGCCAGTGCCGTTGGTAAAATTATTTTCGCAAATGACACAATTAATTTAAGAATGTGCTACCCTATGACAATAAATGAATAATCATTGTGCAGCAACCTCGTATTTATTCATATCACTGGATTTTGCATTTGAAAATTCATGTTTGAGGGTTTTTTAATCGTCAGCATTCCCTCGCATGGATGCGACTACAGCTACGTTGTTAGTTGAGAACTGAAATTTTATACAAATTAAGTAGAAAACGTTGTTCTTGAGTCTTAGAATCCTAAGTCTGCATTACAAATACAAATTAATTAGTTATGGCGTAGAATGGTAATACTCCTAGCCAGAAGTCGCCAGGTGGAAAAATTGGTATGGATCACCCCACAGGGTCTCTCCAAAGGAAAATTTTTCCAATTTAAAGTCATATTCTCCCATCAGTTGTCATTAGCCACATCCATGTCAAATTTCGGCTCGATCGGAGGATTTTCAAAAATCGGTATGGGTTCCCCACTAGGGTCCATCCTGATAAAAATTTTCGACTTTTCCGTCATAATCTCTCATCAGAAGCCATTAGCTACCTCCATGCCAAATTTCAGTCCTCTATGACTATTTTGGACATTTATCACCATGACCCCCACCGACCAAAATGACCCCCACCGGTCAACCACTTGACCGATCAAGCCCACCTTAGAATTTGATTCCTAGCTTTGCATGTTTTAAGTGTGTGCCAAATTTCAAGTCGATCGGATGAGTTTGAAGAGAGTTGTCGGAAGACGGACGGACGGACGGACGGACGGACGGACAAGACGGGTACATAAGCCTTGGGTCGGGCTAAAAATCTCCCAGTTGCCAATGGAACACAGAAAGTTGACAAGTCCTAGCATGCATAATATTTTTGGCGTTTGTTCCACAACGGTTAGCCAAAAGTAAATACGAATCTATATACATACAAAGTAAACACGTGGTAATGTACACAAGATATACTTATTTTATTACATCCGTTCTCCAGAATCATTCCAGTTCGCTCTTCAACGTCAAACGTGACATATTTATGTAAGATATTCCTATGTATTACACTTATCGCCTAATACTACATATATCTTATTTTTCATGTAACAGATTATTAACCTTATGCCGCATCACATTTGTTCAAACAGTTTATTAGCATTCATTTTGGGTTGAATGTGTATGTAAAGCAAATACAAACCAAATATATTAATATTTATAATGTGTGATAAGCACTGGAATTCCCGAAAAAGATAAAAAAACTCCTCATCCGGTAAAACGTTTATTCAGACACAATATATTCAATTCCACTCCAACATTAATAAAAGGTGGTGTCAATTTATTCGAGTGTAAAAATCATGGCCGTCGTCAAGCCACCTGCACTTCTGCTGATTTCGTAAGGGCTTTCCGTATTTTGGCTATACATTAAATTAATTAATACACCCAAAATAAGATGGCAAAGAATATTACTCCGGAATAACCACGATGTCTACGATGCTCTACCACGTTAGCAATAATATTATTACCGAATTGTAAAAATAGCATGACTAGTCAACGATAATATTATTACCACTTGTCGTTAAATCTATACTAACGTGGTAGAGCATAATAGTTATTCCGTTCGGTAATGTTCCTTACCACCTCATTTGGATTGTAAAATCTTTCTGTAGGCGAAAACTTCCGCGTATATCAGACGTAGCCAAGAGTATTTCGAATGACGTGGAACTTTTCCTACAAAGAACATACTTCGGACATCTTTTAGGAATTTCGACAGTTGATGTCCTATTCATTGTTAGTAATAATAACCCTAGCCCTTTCGAAGTGATGAATCGCCTCTTAGAACGTTGGGTAGGAACAAATGGTGCGAAGGCAACCATTGCCAACTTGACCACGATCTTGCACAATGCGCAATTTATTAATCTAGCAGGTAATGATTAAATTAGACGGGAAACAACAATTATTGTTAACTAAAAGAATTAGTCCTAGAGGGAACATTTTCAAGGTATTAGTCGTGTAACGAGTACCCACTATGTTTTATTGAACCTACTTGACCCAATAATGACGCATCGATTTATATTTCTGCGTAAAACTCATATCTGGCACCGTGGTATGGCGCCAAAATTAAGAATTGGCATTTTCAACTAATTCCATCCCTCTATAAATTTGGAATAGGATTTTTAAGATTTTGTGCTTTAAATGAACACAACACGTCAAATTTTATAACAAATTCGATTTTGTTTATTTTAACCTTCTTCGTAGATTTTTCCGGCGAATTCCTTACATAAGGAAAAATACCTTGTGGGCGGCATTTGAAGTTGGATATTGACCATGATTTTAGTATTTACAATTTACAAATTCGTTTAGAATTTCAAAGTTCTGAGGGTTATAAAACTAAAAACGTGCAAATTTTGTGAATTTGGTACCACGCTTCAGCGCTCAATATAAGTTTTCCACGGAAATATAAACGGATTAAACGGATCCCTTGTCCAGGGTTGCAGTACATTATGTATAAGAAAAGTTGGTACCCAAGATACGACTGACACCTCTGAAGTTTCCCTTGTTAGTTAATCTTATTATTAATTTCACAAAAAATTCTTTAGAGACGCTTCAGGAACTATATTTTGATGGTTCTTTAAACACCGGGGACAACTTTGGCCGACCACCTCTCATGAAGTGCTCCATCTCGGAGAGAATCTGGTGGAATGTTCCTAAATGCACACCAAACTTTACATCAAGAACGGCCCAAATTCAAACCGTCCGCTCTAAAATAAACAATGCTACACGACATGCACCACAATTAACAATACTTTTCACGGGACCAGCTGGCATCGGCAAAAACGAGGTTATACGAAAAGTAGCTACAAATCAATATGGCGAACATGGGTGGAACGTGCTAGGCATTGGTAAAGATTTTGAAATTCCAGCCAAAAACCTAGGAAAAACTCTAGGGTTAGATATAGAGCATGCTGAAATTTCTCCAGAGATGTTGATTGTAGAAATAGTGGTTGCTATGCAATCTAGAGCACCGACAATTGTAGTTATCGACGGAAGTTCGGACACATCTGGGTTGCCAAGAGAGAAAATCCTACAATTACTTAAAATATTTAATGATTTACCGCCAAGTGAGAACACTTTAGTCTTTCTCATTTCTTCCCGCCAGTTTGGTGGGTATGAGGGAATGTTCCCAACAAATATAGAATTAACTCCGTTCTTGGAATTTGAAACTGCCAACATTTTATCCGCCATTCCACTTAATATGAATCAACGTGCGTTAAGCGATTTACACAAATTATCCGGGGGACGACCATCTGATGTATTTAAAACTGTTCAAATTCTTCAGGGTTATTACAACGTTAAAGTCCAAGGTTATGATTCATTTACTTTTAACAGAGTAATGCACATTTTGACATATTGCGCTCATATCATTAGTACAAACTATGCGTACTTGTTATGCCAAAAGTTTTGCCCTAATTTAACAACAGCGACATTTTTATCAATTGTTAACCGAGCTCTTGCTAACGGCTTTTGTGGGACGGCAAATGCGGAAACGGCAGTCGGCATGTTAGACTTTACAAAACAAGTTTTAAGAACGTATATAAAATATGCGGATGACTTTGATCCTGAACCAATAGAACTAAGAAAACTCTTAAGTCTTTTGTTAGAGTTATTTAACTCCAAAAAGGATTATGGAACGGATGCTATGCATTTAGGAAGCGTTTGGTCATTCGCGGTGGAGTATGATGAGCTGATTCGAGATTTTCCAATGACACCTTATCGCATTGTTACAGAAGCGACGAAGGATAGGGTTTTGAACCAGGCGTTCCTAGAGAAAAACTTTAATCGGCTTAGAGAAATTAATGGATTTAGTGATCAATGGACGTTGAAAATAGGAAGCCAATATGCTGAATTCTTGTATATGATAAAAAAGAAGGAAGAATCGTTGGCATTGTTTTCAGAACTGTTTCAGCGAATGAAAACGACTCTTGGCTTAGCTAATTCTATCACAATTACTACCGGACATTGGTATGCTTGGATTCTTTGTGAGTTTGGCAAATATGATTTGTTAATTCCACTACACTCCGAGCTGAGAACTTGCTGTCAAGCAGCTTGTGAACCGCTTGGTAGGTAAGTTCTTGGAAGCATTGCTTATGTGTGACACGGTACTATTATTTTAGATTATGAAGCTATTAATTGCTATTATTAGCTTTCGGTTATTTAAAAGAATCACGTGCATCTTTTATAGTGAAATGTAAGTATATTAAATCTAACAAACAATTACGTATCTTTTCAATATTGATAGCAAAAACTACAAAAATCTCCCTCAACATTATTTGCACATGCACTCTCATTAACATTGTCACTAAAATCGTCTCCTCGTGGAGGCACTACATGACTCTACCGCAGGGTAATAATTTATATCCACGCATAGATGAATACATTCCGTCTCTGCAGCGATAGTAAACAATATTATAACCTACATGGATACAATTTATCACTGTCTATTTATTACAGAATACATGAAAAAGGAGACAAAATATGTTTGAGGCTGGAAACAATTTGTCTAATTGTGGTGGTAATGTGGATGATAATTTGTCTCCGCTCTTAGAATTATTATTTCCACGAAATAGTAGATTGTAAACATTAGGAAATAAATTTTCTTCTTGAGCAACAGTTTTTATTTAAATGGAATTATAAAATATACATTTTAGTAATATACAAATATATTTACAAATAAATATAAATCTAATTAGGCGAACAAAAGATATTTATGTCCCCAAGTGATAAAAATATTGTAACCTGAATTAAGATAGACAATATATTACAAGTGATATCTAGTCGTTAAAAATAAACCGTCAACTTTACAATTTCTATGAATCTCCATACATTCATGAATAATTAAGTCATCAATTTTAATTAAACTTATTTTATCTCCAATTCGGACTCTATAAGCAAAGAAATGATTATCAGTAGCCCATAACAATGAATTAATCTTAAATGATTCCAAATTTGTAAAACTGTACTAAAAACGTCAAAACATTCCGGATACTTAAACATTGTGAACTAATGTAAGAATTTTGACGGTCGTCGAAAATGCTGGGTAGTTGGACAAAAATTGTAATTGCAATTGTATCCCTTTCACTACTGAGCAATGCGCTTTTCTGTGTTTACGCAATACTTGATAATGGAGTTTCTTGGGCTGGATCGACTTCGCACGCATTTTATGCTATGGGAATGGCGCAACATACGTAGTCAGCTTTCTAATAATAATTTAATTACTTCCATCGCAAAATCAAGGAGTCATTGTACATCCAAAAGTATCCTCACACAATGAACATCAAATATGGTAAAAAAGTGAAACCGATCTGGTTCCCCACTATACTTCCGCTCATAAAGATAGTATAATTTCCAAGGAAAACAATTATATATTGTCAAAAATCCTGTAGATGTCAAATTTTTTATCAGATCAGAATGGTTACATTCATTAAAATTTTATGTGACGTATGTACATACATATGTATGTGTAAACCCACTGCTTCTTGTTTTCTTCTCCTTAGTCAAACTGGATGTATATGTTTGTACGTACATATCGTCGGCCTAACTCTAAAATGTCCTAAGTTACACCGATCCATAATTTAAAAAGTCATAAATTAAAAAAAAATATTCTAAAAAGTCCTATCGTCCATCCATGTCATTAGATATGTCTAAATACTGCGATACATAACTAAGAACATGGGTGAACGATAGGACTTTTTAGAATATTTTTTTGTAACTTAGGAGTTTTTAAATTATGGATCGCTGTATTTAACTTGGCTTTTTTAAAATTAAGCATCGATGGAAATTAGGACTTTTTAGAAATGGGCCGACGATATGCATATATGTATATGAGTCTAACAATAGTTACCAAAATTTTGTGGGACATAAAATTGTAAATGCAATTAGATAGTAGCAAATTTAAAAAAATACGTACATAAAATTAATGGATTGATTAAACTTCAGGTGTCTCGTCTTGGCTGGTTATCTAACAGAAATTACATTATAATTAGTAAGTTTTACACATATTTTCATCCACAGGTGTTTGTGACGTAATAATAAAAAAACTTTACTCAGCAATTTTAAACTCCCCTTTCTTTCGTTTTATTAATGAATATATGTACTTATTTATTAACAATAAATGGTTGTTTCTAATATGCACATACATAAATACTGAAACATTATGCACGTTGAAGGAAAATCATGTGCATAAGTAAATATATTTGTTTGTAAATTCCGGTATCAAAATTATTAACTGAATTAATTATTATATGTAAATAAGTGTCATTAGCTAATATTTATACCATTAAATAGTTTACTGGGACGTACTTTTTACCTAGATATTTATGTACATAGATAAGATTTGTGTAAATTGAGCACTACTTACATTTTCCTCGTGCAGTAACAAAACTTAAACCAACTCTGGTTTAATCTCCGTCGGATTTATAATCTTATGATAGAACACGACCCTCCTAACCCCGTCCACAAGTCTGATTCCTTGCGCATAATAATTAAATCCCATCGTCTGGTCGACATACTCTTCTGGGGTGTAATCCACTCGTAACATCGTTTCCGTGCACCCATCCGGAATTTTGGGGACTTCCCGTACCGGCTCTTCCTCTCCTTCGGTTAAGTCTTCCTTTTTCTTTTTCTTTGTGAATGGGGGAGGAACTATGGAAAAGGCAGACCTGTCGATATTATCTTCCGATGGGAACAAAGCCGGATTCATTCTGATCGGGTTACTCGGATCGGTGACGAAGAGGAGGAGATAATTTTTTTCATCTTCCGGTACCCTAGCAGTTGCTAGATTATTATTAGTGAAGTGAAAATCCTGGTCTGTTTTCGGGATGAGATTGGATTCCATTATGTCACGATTTGTTGTCGACGACTCCAAACTTTCTGTTGATTTGACGTTAAAAGAAGGTTTCACGGTCTTGTCGCGGAAGTCTGTTTGCATTATGTGGGAGGTTTTTTGTCGTTCAGTCTTATTTTTTAGATTAGTTTGATAACTTTTAGAGCGAAATTCGGATTCGCTTAATTTCGGTACGGTGTCACTTTTAAGTTTTGGGTCAGATTTTTCCTCAACTTTTCCAGAATTTGTGGCTAGCCTGGATTTATTATTAGTTATCTTACCACCCGCTTGGTCAGGTTTACCCTTACTTTGTTCCTTAGGAACGGGAGGGTCACTGGGTGGAAACAAAACTTGACCCATTTGTACGGATTCATTTTTCTCACTTAATTCTGACTCGGGGTTAATGCTAACTTGTGATATTTTCTTTTCAATTTTATTCTCCGATTTTGCAGCCTGTCTCAGCTTCTCGGCTTGTGCTTGACGAGCTTCCAAAACTTTTTTTAATTTCTCCTGGCGAATAACGAGAACTGTTTTTCTGCATGGTTTGACCAATTTCGGTGTCAGGTTTTGATTTAGTTTTCTGCCTCTCTGCCTCCATTTCGGGTGACCCTATCTTCCAGCGTGGTTTGCCAGGAAAATACTTCTTTGGGGCAGGGGGTTCATACGTATCGGAAAGGATTGACCCACAGTAAGGAGGAGTAATTGAATCCGCTTTTTTGATTTGTATTGCGCTTCCAGAAATCCACTCGCCCGTGGGGGTAGCCAGATCCAAGAAAAATTTCTCCACGGTCACTTTTTGTTCTGGGATTCGATCCATGTCGTACGTCTCCCGCATCGTGTTATCGCACAGGTTAACATATGTCGGAAAGCTGTGAAAACCTCGTACCTCGCGCCATAAGTTTACCATTTGGGAAGTACTCTAAAATAAAAATGAACATAAGTTAAGTACGTAATGTTTTTTTTTAATCTGAGTGTGAACTTGAAACAGCGGTCATTCATAAGGCAACCATTGCCCAAATCGGACCAAGAATTTTTGAAGAGGTTATATTTATTTAAACATTTGTTTTTGTAAAACAATTCTATCCTCTTAAAAAGTTGTCAAACCCTGCAGTAGGTACTTTTCAAAATTTTCAGTGAGTAGTTTCACTAAGGAATTGTGGAGCAAAATATCCTAGGTATTTATCAAGGCCGAGATACCATTAATAAGTTCACGCGTTTTCAGGGACCGGGCATAGTTATGTCTTAAATTATGATATATTTGTGTCGTAAAATTAGGCCTTTTTGCATTACATTTATACTATTCAAATTACATTGAATACGCAAAAAATCAGTTTTTCAGGAATTTCACAGCCAATTGTTACCTCACAAAAGTGTATAATATATCAAAATGATGGTATGATCAAGGCCGATCTGTTGACATATAACATGGTGGGATGTGACCACTTGACCTCGATTTGACCCAGGGGGGTCATCATAGGGAAGGTCATAACAGTCAGTCGGCTTTAAATTGTGCGTACTTGTATTTTACGGTAATGTGGGGATTTTTGTCAAATGTTTTTTTTTGGACGTAAAATGGATGCCCGTCACGTTAGTTCACAAACCTTGCTAGAGTGGCGTCCATCCTATGCACTTATATCCACTCTGTACTCCACATTCTAGTATAATATATAGTATATATATATAATTCTGTGGTATGTATATACCCACATATTTATATGTACATGTAAAATGCCACTCACAATCCCATCCATTCCAACACGATACAATCTTTGTGTTGAAATACAGATTGGTGGTGACAAATACATAAGAGTTATTTCCTGCACAGGAGTGTCGACTTGGTTAAAAGGCATGAATTTATTTTCCAAATATGTATGTAAATGCACTCAGGTATGGTATGGGATACAGAATCATTATGCTTAGGGTAGAAATATTTTCTGTACAACTTTTAAATGCAATTATATTTGATTACTAACTAATATTAAGTAGGGGATTTTCAAATGGAAACTAAAATATTGAAAAACGCCAACCGATAACGACTAGATGAGGAAAATTGAACAAATTTATTATAAGTTTTGCACATTTTATAGAATTCTTATCTTAATAAACAAACATACGTTTTATAATTTCGAAAAAATAAAATTTGGTGTGGCATCAGATACATGTCTATGCACTGTATGAAAATGGATGAATTTATGAATCAGATGTGGAAATTTTTTTGTCTTGAATACTTGTTAATAAAAGTATGTTAAACTGTTTTTTATAATCTAACAACAAAAATATTTCTAGTTTGATACAAATAAATAGAGGAAGATGGACCAAGCATTCATAAAACTTGGAAACTGGGATAGATGACTGAGCTACCAAAATCACACACTGCAAAAAATACTAACAAAGTGCGGTGTAAATATGCGGCTACACCTTCAGGTGACAAATTGTCACTGGCTGGTAGAAAGTTTACACCATGCGGTGATAAGTTTTCACCGTTTGGTAAGTTATTGTCACCGGTTGGTTACAACATCTTATACCACCCGGCGACAACCATTTACACCATGCCCGGTGTAGCCGCAATCTACACCGTTGGTGTTAAAATTTACACCAAATTTTTTGCAGTGCATATGTACCACAGACTCTTAGCAGTCTGGTAATGATTTTATTCCAATTGGAAGAAAATGAATATTGCGCGGTATAAACTTCTCTACCAGAAATACACCGAGTTATGTTGATTTCATTATCAAGCCCGGTAGAGTCATATACAGATATACATTCCGACCTGTAATGAATTTCACTAAATTCATTACCACTTTGCTTAGAGTGCATATATGATATTGCAAAAATGCGTGAAGGAAGAAATATAGAAATTTATTCTTTCCTTCTTCCCAGCGTCAAAAGTGCACGAAAAGTCCCTTTAATGATTGACATTAAGAACTTGACAACGCTTATCCTCCTCAACGTGATGAACCCTTCTTTCCCGATGATTAATGGTTTCTGCGCCTTCTTCCATTTTCCAAAGGTTTTCGCCTCCCTCTTATCCCTGAAAGGTAACAGCTTCCAAGATTTGATCGTCTTGATCGAATACTTATGAAATCTACCGGCCACTTCGAGCAAAATCGTCCAAACTACTTGCATCAAGGCAGACCAAACCGTCAGCAGGATCTGCCGGTACCAGTACAAAATATTGAGTAAAATTCTGATGGACAAAACAAGCTGAGTAAAAATTAGCCAATATTGTCTAAAGTTTCCTCAAGGTTGTGCAAACTTTATAAATAACTGGGTAAGTTTTAGCCAAGTGTGTTGCAATAACGCCAACTTACTCAACTTTATATGCACAATCTTGTTTAGAGTGTCTTTATCCGGCTACGTTTTACATAATTCATAATTTTGTCAGAAATCAGAAGTACTAACCGTTGTATTTGAGTCCATTGTATTCCAATTTTTTAGTAATGCAAAATTGCAAAATAAGCAAAGATGTGAAACAGTCCCATGAATAAATCCCACCACTAAGCCGGCCGTCTGCATCACTTCCTTGTGGAGTAGACGTACCGCGGTGAACTCCCTGGCCAGCTGGTTAGGCCTACGTAGGGCTGGGATTGCCAATTGGGTCGCCGCATTCATGTTTAATTCCCGCATCACAATCATGACTGGCACTGAAAGATTTGGAGTGTTTGTAAAAAACATTTTGTGAACAAAAAACAGAGTTGGTCAGAGTTATTTGTTTTAAATACAGAGTTGCCATATTTTAATAATATTAGAAATAAGAATAACTCACATTTTGCATGAATCTACATTGTACAATGTGATATGATAGATATTTTCCTACACATGCTCTGTTACGTTTATGATTTCTTCTGAAGACAATTCATAAATCAGGTTGGTTAGGTTATCATATGTAAAGTCGTATAAAATGTTCAACTTTCTCAACAGATATACATATTTACTTGGAAAGCCTATATTTTTCGCAAACCTTTCGATAAAAATATCTAATCCTGATAGGTCTTTACTACTTAACACGAACCAAAGTTAACAAAATGTAAATACCCTTAGATCCAGCATAAATCACGAACCTTATCTTTAAATATTACATGTCTTTTTTAACATCTCATAATTGTGATAAAATATAAATCACGGTCTTAGTTTCTACCGAATTTGGTAAAAAACTTCCTTTTTACCAATAAGTTCAAATAACTCAACTATACCTTCAAATAATAAAAAAATATTTACCCAAGTATACCGTTCCAACCACAATGAATAACATGACCGCGTACCACGCTACACAAGCCGTCCATGTAAGAAAAATCAGGGAGACTGATATCATCAAAACGTTATCCCGTAATCCAACAATATTTGGAATGATGTGTCGTGGATGTGTCGGGTTATCGGGGGAGTTGATATAGAAGATTGTAGATGATAAGGGCAGAATTAAAATTGCGCTGACTTCCAGGACAACCATTACGTCCATAATGACCGTGTACTTCCTCAGTGCCTTAGAATATGGGATCCATGACCCTATTCAAATTACAGATAAATAATTATATGTACGTTTCATTATAATTTTTACAAAAAAATATCATTGCTATAAAATATGCTAATCAGTTTAGTGTTTAAGACTTACTTTGAAAATATGGGAAATATTGCAAAATGTGGTTCGATACACCGATAGCATTATCGTGATTGACCAACAGAGTAAACAACAATCCCAGAATTAAGAATAAGGCACAACTGAACCCATAGGCTGCGTGGAAATGAACATTTCTTTCCCCTCCTTGGTACATCCACAGTCTGAACGTTTGAATCCAAAGGAACGCCACGTATCCGGACATGACGTAAATTGTCGTGTAGAATTTTTCCCTTGATTTTTCAGTGGAATACACAAACCTACCCTTCCGGTTGAAATGGGCACTGAAAGCACCCACAGAGCTGGTAGCTTTCGCCATTAGTTCAAGCAAGTTATAAAGTAAGGATGAAAACATTTCCGGAGTTAGGGGTGAAGTTAAAAACAAATTACCATAAAATACTTTGGAAGTATTTCGTATATTCTAACAGTTACAAGAGTACTCTTATATGTGACTGAAGCGACTCTACGTGAAATATCTATATGTATATTTATCCAGCTTTTCCACAGATGTCTATGAGTTCCTAGTTAATCCAATTTAAGTATTAGGAAACGTCGGTTCTTTTGTAATACCAAATTATCTAAATCGTTTAACCACTAACTCGCACAACTTTGTGTCCTGTAAAATTCATAGTGAATGACGTGGTTTGAGTTTGAACTCTATTATTAGGTAATACATATGTAATTACCTAACTACCTAATAATATGTGCTTTCCATATTGCCCTAAAATTGAATCAAATTTGAATCGCAAATAAGGTAAAAATTGCATGTTTTTGTTGGTGTTACACCAGCTACAAGGTTAACGAGTAATGTAATGTTTTATAACTGATGTGCCTCCCGACCATGTAATACCCTAGTATGTAAATTTGTGGAAGTTAAGCAAGGACTATCAGAATCTATAGAATTGATAATTGAGTTTAAATTTTTGAGTTATTTTAAATCCACGCAAAGTTTCAACGCCACATAACATTTTTACATGAACAAGTTTTGTTTCTCAAGTTAACCGTAAAAAGGTAAATGCAAAATTACAGTTACCCAACTAATAATTGAGTTGAACAGGAAGAATTGATTACGAAGAAAAATGGAAAATTATTATTGATTGATTGAATTCCAAATTTCATTACTCAGCCAGTTTCTCGGAATACAAAATATTTATATCAAAATTTTGGTCAAAAAATGAACTTTTATATAAATATATAATTTACTTTTTTCATTACTTTTCCTTTGACTCAAATCAATCAATAGATATAATCAATATCAACAAAAAATTTATTCGTTCAATTCGATGGCCGCAACCCATATCATTACATGAAGTCGAATCAAAATAAATTTTTATTTGCAAATGACATGTATACGGAGAAATATGCAAAAATAAGATTTGCCTTCCAAATTTTAGATAAATAAAACTACCAAAAATTAATTTGATTTCTAATTATTTTATTGATATAACCATATTCAATCAAATTAAACCTTACAGCTCATATAATGAAATTGTATATATTGATTACAATTCTTGCCCGGATAACACATATTCTTTAGTATGTACATATGTATGCGATACGGTGTTATCTCTGTCCAAACCTATTTCAAGAGCATACAAAGAAGTTTGCTAATTAATTAATCATACTTATTTATATATAAAAGTAATACAAGTCTGGCTACCCTTCTTCAATAATATAAACATTTAGCCTGAATAAATAAATCATACCAAGTCATGCCTCCCTAAAAAGTGAAATATTCTAAGGAAAGCCATCATTTTTTTATATTTTGGGGGATGACGAATAATTTATTTCCTATTTATTTGCTAATAATTCATTTCACTTAATTACTACAAGATAAGTTACAAAATTAGTTTCCTAATTTTAACAAAGTTTTATTGAAGACACTTGATCGTTCAGTTGTGAGCAATTGCTAAAATCATCTTGGCAAATGTTTCTATATGATTCCAATCTCTGATTGGTTCCAGTGCAATCTTTATGTTCAAAGATTTGGACGCATATCCCTCTCGAATTGATGGAGGAAATCAAGTCATTTTTGCCCGCGTCTAAATTCAAGCATCCGAATGTGGGTAGTATCACTTCCCAATGCCGACCTGACCTATGAGCGTCCTCGTAAAGGTCAACGTAATGGTACAAAGAGCGTAGACCAAGATTCGGTCTTGCTTCAGTGGTACGGAGAAGGACGAGTATGGCAAGGAATTTGAGATCCAAGTTTGCTATGAAACCTCCCATCTAAAATTATATTTAGAAAATATTTTTGATGTAACATTCATATCACAATTAATTTAGAATACTAGAATAATTATACCTTGCAGAGATCAGTTCAGAATCCTGGTGCTGGTTGGATGAAAATTTTGATAAATGAAGTAAAATATAAGTAACGTCTGATTCTTATATGGGTATTGGTGACGTAATACAAATACATATGTATGAATTTTACAAATACATATTTAAATCTGTCACGATAATGATGCTACGAAGAAATTATGAGAGACTAGGTGGAAACTGACGTCACCAATTTTTTATGTTTTATTGTAGCACAAAATAAATGTTATTCGGACTGCGAGAAAAAAAACCTGTTTCTTAGTGACTATTCAAGTAGAAAAAACAACAGGTTCTGGCTGACTTATGTTATGACTACGTCCTTTACCTGTTTTATTTTTCTGGACGTATTTTTCCAATTCTTCGTAGATGCCAGACTCCGCCGACATTCTAAACATGACTACGTTATGTTAGTGAATGTAATACATTCACTAACATAACGTTACAGGTTTTGAGAAATTGGAAGCCTCTGAGTGACTAACCAGTTGCTATGGTAGATTTTTTTAATTAGACTTTTTTTAACATTTTTCTCATAATTTATTAATCATTTTTCTGTCGGAAAATTTTAGGTTTTCAAATTTTCGAAATTTCTAGCTCGTCTAAGGTTTTCAGATCCATTTAAAATAGTAACTGTCATAGTGAATCTAAAATATTAAGTATGTTTTAATGTATTTACTATTTTGTTAAATTTAATAAAACTTATGCTATGTATACATTTTCGCCATTTATATTTAGTTTATACAATATTTTTATTATGCAAGAAACACATACAAATCAGCTTGCTGGTTACGAATACGATGAGATGTACATTTCTGCAATTCACTTTTCTGAAAATAAATTATTTGTCACCGACTATTTCCCGCAATCACTGGTCTTAAAGTTTTGGCTTAATGACTTCCTGCTTAAGTTGGATGTCATCATAATTTGAAACCCAATATCTTTGTATGTATGGACTTGTGAAGCTTCGTACAAACATAAATAATTGACTAAAAATCAACATTTGGCGTTAATCTCACCATGCAAGAATCCTCTGTAACTAAGTCTTCTACGTTTCTGGTCCCCCTCATCTCTCCTAAATCTGTTCTATTAAGTGAAACGTAATAATTATAGTGGGAGGCGAATCCCATCAATCTGTTCACTAAACCAATAGTTTATTAAAATGGAACAATTGCTTATTTACGGGAAACTCTGTCTGAACTACACGAATAAGGTTGATCTTGTACAGAACAAGATTTCTACTTAACAGAGTAGAGTTTATTTAATGCATATCCATTAGTATGATGGTTCCGTTGTCTAGATACCTGTTTCCCTTACGACTAGAAATCTATACACTCGCAAACTCTTTTTCAACACAAACCGGTCCAAGATCGGCCCAATTCGTGGTGAACAAGTGATCCATTCCCAATGGAATGCATGCCACTCTTTCATAACTATATTGTACTAGATTTCACAAGTATTTTATGTTTCTTCATGTTGCATAACTTGCTAAATCGTACACTAATTTTGTGATTGTCAAACTTGGCTACCATTGCCATTAATCGGTATCTCGACACACACACATTTCTCTCCCAGAAACACAACTGCTAAAATGGAAAGAAGTACTGCCTGTAGTTGAAAAATGGAGTTTAAATGCTTCAATAAGATTAAGCCATCAATTCCTCTAGTTGTCTTATTCTGATATGTCACCCGTTCTATTTTGGCCGTATAAATTCTGAACTCTTCGAAGTTAATGCGATCTCCAAAAGCGGACATACCATTCTCTATGAATACATTATGAAATCCTATAGCTTTTCTTTCCAGTGCGAAAGCAAACTTAGAAAATGACATTTTCACGTGACCAAATGGAAACTGGTTACACCTTAAAGTATCACGTTGCCCTTGAACACGGCGCAAATCCGCATAGGTTTGCCACCTTTCTAAGGAAATTCGAACAAAACTGCTTATCCGACTATCAAGATAACCCAAACTTGACAGATTTTTCCATCCAATTAATACCTCGTCAGGGAGAAAAATCTCATTTCGAACAATTTTAAAGTACCGCTTCATAATCTTAGGGTCTACAACTCCAAATTTTTTCAACTCCATGTAAAATATAGGACTGCTCTCGTTAATATAACTGGGCAGGTTAATATTCGCCGAATTTGTGACAACTTTTTGCGAAGCATTTACAAACTGACCAACATTTTCATATCGGAAAGGCTTCGCGGGTGCAATAATATTTATGACTATGCAGCCTTCGTAACTCCATGAGACGAGCAAAGTGAGCACCACGAATGGCACATAACCCCTGGTAAAATTTCGAATGGGTTCCCGTAACAGGAGAGAAAACAGGAAGTAAGATGACGATAACCAAGTGGTAACATAGATTAAAACCTTTTCAGGACTAGAAGCTATACACATGATAACACCCGAACTTCTAGTCGATACTGAAATCACCAGAAAGACGAGCAATATTGAAATCCACACAGTTCCTTGAAACGGGCTAACCCAAACACTCAACGAAGTCTTTAGACGAACATATGGTCTACAATATTGTTACAAACATGGATTTGGATGATGCTGGTTAAGATGGGATCTTAACCAGGACCATCCAAGATCCGAAAATAGAACCAGAGGGAAGAGACGGAGAGAGAGATAAAAAAGAGAGATCCAGGCAGAAAAAGAAGAGAGTCGGAATCTGGTTAGGCTAGCAGTAATATAGTAATAATAACGTGTGTTAATCTGTAGAATAGGTTAATTCTAAGTAAAATAAAAGCAGTTAAGAAGAGAACAATCGGTCCAAGTGCTTTCCCTGTCCCTTCATTAACCCCTCCCAGCACACGACCACGAAACAATATTTGATAAACGCCTGCACCTCGTCATCAAATCGGATTCCTATTGACTCGGCTGGATCTGAGACATCAGAAATGGTAAAATGTAACGTGATCTGGGAATACATAAGTGCTTACTTGAAACGAGGTAAAGTTGAGGGCTCTAGATATAAAAATCATTTCCTCCGTAAACCTTTGACACAAGTCGACTGATCTGTCCGAGTATCGTGCGCGTATTCCATCCATCAAAACGTGACACCTGGCAAAATGTTTTAATCCCGGGATTTTTATTGTCACCGGCAACATCATGTGATTCACATCTGTAGGAAAAAGTGGAGATCGGTGAAGGTCACGGAACACAAAGCTTTGATCTGGAATAGGCTGGAATTTTTGAGGTTGTCTTGAGAAGACGTATCGAATTGGTAAATCTTCAATTTGCACGTCGTCGAATGACTCATGTTCAGCAATTGTGAGTAACATAAGATAAACAGAAAAGGGATAAATTCTGCACCATATTTTCTCTTAGGACCAAAACAAATATGAAACCCGGCTTGGAGAAGAGGTGAAACAAGACGGAGATAAAACCGCCAAATTTGATTTCGTAATCCAAACATATTCCAGTCTCATCTTGAACAACTAAACTTTGGGAAATCAGACTAATTCCTGTGTGACTGTTATGTCGAGATATTAAGTGCACGTATTTGGCAGAAATTACTAATGAGTTGTAACTATTGAGGTTGGAGGCTTTGCTAATCAGTAAAGCTTCCGTTAATTCGTTTATATAACCTTGATTAATTCGTATGTATAAAATGCAACCGCTACTAATATTTCCCAATGCTTGCGCAGTTTTGGAAAGGCAAAATACGAAGATACAACAAGTTAAGTTGATTTTGAGAAATGTTGAAAAAATAAACATGATTACCCCGACTAGGGAAAACAATCGATTCTTTACAAGATGAAATATTAGTATCTATTACATTCTGCAACAGCAGTGTACGAATATATCTGCCTTACCGTTATAGCCTGCACCAGATCAATGTTTCATGTCGTGCCATACAACCGAAAAGGTATTAAATTATTCAAAGTCCAGAGTTAGATATGTCATGTTTACGTAGAAATAGTATTATTCGTTTAAAAAAATTAAAATAACCTTAACCGATGATATGTTCTACCACTCGCCAGACCACCCCACCTGTACCAGAAAGTGACAGCGTAGCGTAGTGAGACACGCGTGAATAGGATACCGTAAAAAATCATAAGACAAGCATTGCAAAAATTGCACGTTGTGTTGCGGCTCTCTCAAAATATAATGTTATTTTGCACTGCATAATCTATATCGAAGTTCAACCTGTGCTAAATTATCTATAGACTAAAACTATTACGAATAGATTTTATGAGTTAGAATACTTAACGTTCCATTGCAAGTAGAAATTTTAGTTGGCGGATGGCACGTATTACTTTTCGTTAAATAAGTCAATAAGCATCGGCGCCATCTACATTTACATATCTGAGATTCCTTTTAATTTCAGTGTCTCAAATTCTTGCCTTTCTTGCACTGGAAAGCAAATAATGAAGCACTGACCTTTACGTACCAAATTTTGGACGTGTGTTCTGTATCTGGATGTACATAGATACTAATCTAATGCTACGTCGATACTGAAGAGGAGTACTTATATAAATATAAGTACAATAGATATACTTCTCCACGTAGAATACAGCATTATTCACAAGATGTGGCAGTGTGATTTCTGGTAGATATCTTAAGTTCCCCCAATCCAATTTAAGAAATTCAAAAATATTTGAACAGACAGGTTCAGGTTCCTTCGAGTGGCACTAGGTTTCAATCCAATGTTTAAACCAAGAGTCCACAAAATGACCCCAAAAAGTGTAACTCCGCGAAAGCACTTTGCAAGGCTAAAATGACACCTACAACAATCCCTAAAAATATAGGAATTCAAACTTCATCGTTTTTGGAAGATAAATGTTTGGAATATAAAATAATGAGGAACAAGGGAACATTGAAATTAGTTTGGAGATCCCACAGCCTAAAAACTTACACCCACGGAAATCACGAAAACAGATGTCCCTTGGAAAAGTGTATCGTGTCGCCAGATATGAAATCCCCCCTACTCAAAACTAAGTGCCTAAGAAGGACAATGTGTTTGTTTTTTTTACTTACACCACACAAAATGAATCACAAAGATATTTGTTGACGAAGCTCAAAAAAATCAATGTTCACACCATTCTCTAAAGACACAAGAAAATTCGGATGACCATGTTCATCTGGCCGTAACGGGATCACCTTTACGCGAATAATCCTAATTTTCTGTTAATTTAGAAGAGGGATAGTTGGTGTTCTTGAATTGTACTTGAACTATAAAAATCTGCTGCTCAAATCATAAAAGGAAATGAAAATTTATGCCAATAAAAAAAGTTAAAAGTTTTGGACCACGTGATGATGGTCGGAGTTACGAGTGGGCGTGGGACACTCCCACTTACGAAAGCGCCATAAAGGGTAAATATTTATGTAACATAATATGTCCCAAAATTTTAGAACCAGTTTTGAATTTTGAGATTCCAACGCTCTATGGTGAGCACACTTAAGAAGTATTTATTCACCATTTTGATGCGCAATCCCGCACCTCCAACACGACCAGCCTGTATACGGCCGGGTTTAAACAAATTCAGGAAATCAGATTTTTTTTGTATGCAGGAGGTGAATTTAAAATCAATTGATGTAACCCCCATGGACTTTTTTGGTTTTGGGGTTCTATAACTGGCACTCTTCTAAGGGATTGCAACCATGAAAAAGGAACACTGCAAAGTTTTTTTCCGACATGGAACACTTTGAGGTTTTGTCGATTGTTAGTTTCAACATTGGATTGAAACCAAGTGGTGTTCGAAGCACCCATAACTAGTCTCTTCAAATATTTTCGAATTTCTGAATTTGGGTAGGGGCGACTCAAGATATCTATAAGAATCCACACTGCCACATCTTGTGAATAATGCTCTGTATGTATTTTATACAAGATGAGGGAGTCGTGGTGTTTGTTGATAGTGCGAGATAAAGGTCGCTATTATTTAACAATACATGATTGCATAAATGGTTGGGGATATGGAGTCCATTCGCGTATACATACATACAGAAATATGCACCGGTCAAATAGAAGTTGATGAGTCTCATTTCAATATCTTTGCCAAAATATGTTCAATTAGCATCACCATTGATTATAGTCCATGTAAACAAATTAATGCTTTTTTATTTGGCAATTATTAAAATTCTCCCTGCCCTGAATACTTGACCGATTTCAAAATTTAAACTCTTTTGAATGCCTTGGGCTTTTGGGTAGATTAGATTCGATACTCCTAGATTTTCAAAATCTGACCACACCCCATGGAAATTAAGGTCTGAAATCAGGTGAAAAATTCAGAAAAGCTCTATTTTTTTTACATATACCATAGAAACTTGCCTATGAAAGAGGATCAACAAAATATCGATGTACTGAGCTGGATATGTAAAACTGCCCATACATTTGTGTAGCATGGATAATGTACAATTTGTTAATTAACGAAAGGACATTATTTCGTAATCAGTCTTATTAATGTGACCAAAGTTCACCTATTGACGATTTTTCATACCAGACCACGACAATCTCCTTCTTTACTGTTAATTATACTTTGAAGATTTTCTCTTTATGCAAACATAATTTCGTAATCTCTGCCTCGTGTAACTTGTTTAAAAATATTATCAAGCAGTCACAGTTTCAATATAGGGTAAATAAGATGATCAGTCTGACTCGAAAGTCATGCCAGCATCGTGTGATCAACTTTCTGAGGTGAAAGGTCATGCAAATAAATGCAACAGATTACACTTGAACTATACCCAGTTGTTAAGTTGCTCAACTAGACACACGACAACTTGACGATTTTTCGTCCTTGTTCGACACAAATTTTAAGAAAAGAGTGGGGCATGATGTAAGCAAAAAATATTATAGTGCAATTTTTTTTATTTTGAAAATTAATATCCTGTTAATATAAATACAATAAGCATAGTGTCATTAGGGATGTTGATTTGTACGAAGTTTTTAAAAGTGGGGAGTTATTAAAAGTGTTATGTTTTTAATTTATGATACAGGCGTTGGTTCCATATTGCGTTGTTTGCCCTGGGAATTTTGTGGTTGACGGGATCACCGGTTTGCTCTCAGTTACTAAGTATAGATGTCGAAATCTGGTGAGGGATTTAATTTATTTTGTGGTATATATAAAATTAATTTATAAACCTGGGATATTTTTGCAGTGTACTGTGACAGGTTGTGAAATATCACCGGATCGCTGTAAACCCTATGGCAGTGTTCCGTATTGTAATTCAACTTCGGATAAATGTTATTGTCTAAAGTATCAGGTAAGTTTTAAATTAATGGAGATAAGAAGCGTGTAAACGTTGGAGGTGACTAATTTTTACATATACTAGATTTCCATAAAATTTTGTAGCGTTTTAAATTATGTAGGTTGTAACCAAATTGTATTGCTAAATATTATCTCGTAATGTTGTCTCTTAATAGAAAAATGTATTTGAGTTGGTCTCCACTTTAATTTCCTTACCGATTTAAGAAACTGTGCAAGTTGTGAGGTTTTTGAAGCATCCAGGGTTTCGGAAATTCCCACTTTGTTGGATAATTTCCGTCAGAGTGTGAATAACTAATAATATATAACTAATAAAAATTGTGAACATGACATATCTAACTCTGAATTTTTTATTAGTGCAACAACAAGGAAAAAAACTGCAGCGCCACCGTATGCAGGGAATTTGAGCGGGCAGAATGTGTCCTCAACAAGTTTGGAACCAGTTGCAAATGTATCCCCCTGATTACCACGCCATATGTACGTAAATTGCTGAATATTTACAAGTATTAAGTGTCTCAATTGTTAAAATTAACGGAACGAAATAATTAACATTTTAGTGCAATACCGGAAACACAACGTGCCACCTGTCGAACGTAGATCAAGCGGATACCCATTACTTTAACGGCATTTGTCAAAACCTGGGTTCAGATTATTATGCGGAAACCTGTCGACGAAATGGCGAGTGTCGATGCGTCAATACCTCACCACCGGTAAATACGTACATTAAATATTGGGCGTATTCACGTCACAATTCGTTGTATATGGAATCTTACCCACGGCAAACAAACTGGGGTAAATTTTCGCGTAGCCATATATGTACTGACCCCTCGAGATATTACACAAGTTGGGCAACATCATGTAATCAATATTTTTACCGGTTTCTTTAAATATTATATTTCTTAAATTTTGTGACCCTAGACGGATTTTTTTAATTCCCGCACAAAGTATGCCCCGTCTACCGGATTTCTTTCACCATTGACGCAAACTAAAACGTTAAAAAGACTCAAACCCAACCTTTTCCGTACGATTTACCGTCTACGTTAATTCTTTATGACATCCGTGATTTTAATTAATCATGCAGGAATTTTGAATTAAAAAGAAATGAATGAAAAAGGGAATGAGTAACGGATTCCAATTTTCAAAATAAGTTTTGAGTGTGAAAGTATTTTATGAAAAGGTATAAGTGTGACCAAAATTTTATAGGAAATGCATAAATTAGTTCTGGCGATCACGTCGTAAAAATTTCAAATGACTTCGGAGTCACACATCGGTTGCACTTACGACAGAAATTCGTCCATCCACTCCCATTGGGGGTGCGGATGTCAGCGCTTTTGACACAATGCGTATAAAGTATGTCATGTGGCAAGGATAATTTAGTCACCTCGGATTTCCTAAACCACACCTCCTGGTGGGTGTGGATTTTGTTCCTCATAGATAATTAATAGAATCATGGTATGAAATAAAATTATGTATGAATTCTGAATTACGATTAGTCACGTGTACACGCTCCATACCAAAATCCAATTATCTAAACACACGCATACATCTAACTATGTTGAAAAATTTTTCAGTGCACGGTGCATGGTTGCGAGTCATCTGTTCTTCGTTGTGGGCCTGAACAGACCGTGCCATATTGCAATGCCACGTCTAATCAATGTTACTGCCTCAAGTATCAGGTAAATAAATGGATTTGGGAAGAAAATAACTATACTTAATTAAGAGATCTTGGAACTAAAAATTTTTGTAAACTTTTTAAGTGCGACAACCTCCATAAAAACTGTAGCGCCACAGTTTGTGGCCCACTGGAACGGCCGGAATGTATATTTGATGAGTATGGGACAAGTTGTAAATGCGTGTCTTTCTTAGACCAGGTATGTATACTGCGTTTTATACAAATTATACCAATACATTAGTAATTTAATAAGGTAGTTAAACAGTGGAAGAAATGTTTAATATATGTCAATATATTAGTGCGGTCTCATTGGCCTTCCGGTTTGTTCTTCGATCGTAAGCCGGACAGACAGACAGCATTACGACAACATTTGCCAACAACTGGGTAGTTCCTACTACGCGGTGGAATGCCGTGGCATGAGAAAGTGTAGATGCGTGGAGAGAATTGATGGGGTTACCTGACTATAGGAAGATTGAAACAGGATGGAGTATTTGATGCTTGATTATATTTACAGTGTCGGCAGAATTCTGATTGTCGCTGTCCCATTGGAATGAAGAGTGATTGCATAGAGGAGATTCACAGATGTTCACGATGTAGAGAAAAATTGGTAACTAAATTATCTTGTTTTTGTATTTTTATGAAACGTTATACAAGAATCAGGTTTACATAGGGGTCTAATTCATAAGTTATAAGCCCCATACCTCTGGCCTTTTTAAGGTGACTAAAATCAATGTTTTCATGCCGGATTTTCAGCGCTTTATAGAGTTATCGATACGTTTTATTGAAATTGTGTTCTAAGAGGGTTTGAGATTAAACATGGATCATTATAGTAAGTATTAAAGGTACAGCAGGTATTTAAAAACGGTGTGGTGCACTATTATAAAAATGTGGTCAATTCGGACTAGAAAGCTTCATTTGGGACGAATTTCTACATACTATTTAAACGAAAAAGGTATTTATTCCGTACCAAAATCGGATAATGCCTTAAATAAGCCTGGGGAAGTGAGAGATTTGGGGATTTGTGCCATAGAAAATACTCAGGAGAGAGTTCGGACACCGAATAACTTGCATGAATTTCAATGTGCATATTTATTTTGACGATGGTGACGACGGAGCAAGAAAAAGCAGTGATAGAGCGCGCTCGGAAAAACTCAGGAGTAACGTAACAGCCCAGTTGCAAACTGATAGACGGTGACAATGCCATGTACATTAAGAATCGCATTGGTAGTAATTATTGACAATTTATTAAAATTTATCGTCTCACGACTTATGAATCGCACTATAGATTTTGAATTTTGGAAAAAGTGCATAAAAACTGAGGTACAAGATTTTCGTTTATAAATGGAGGGTTTCAAAGGATATGCGCTTCTTGCATGTCTTGTACTAAAAAAATAATTTTGTTTTACACGTTCAATGTTTAAATACATATGTATGTATGTATTTCACTAAAAGTTATGTTTCTAATTAGTGCTCGAGCAATGAGGACTGTACACAGAGATGCCCAGCAGGTCAAATAAGTGCTTGTGGCACAGGAAGTTCCAAGTGTTCCAGTTGCGCAAAAAATGTGGGATAAATCAAATTCATGGGAACAAGTTAGAATTTCCTTACAAGTCTTGGTTTATTTAAAATTTAGTGTTCCTCGGACTCTGAGTGTACTGGGGAAGTCTGTCCTACCGACAAACCACTCAAGTTGTGCAGCAGATACAGAGGATGTTATTGTGACGCAAATCCTGAGGTATTTCGGATTAAGTATATGTATAAACAATCCATACGCTGCAATGGGTTCTTATTATATTTATAATCACTTTAAGTGTACCACGCGCGATAGCTGCCCTTCTTGCCCTAATGGACTGAAAGAAACATGCCGACGTGATGGAACCTGTGGTTGTGTTTCACAGGCTCAGGTTAGAACTAATAATTTTCAATCTTCTCTAAAGAAGGAAGAAATCTGCTTTTGCTTGACAGAATTTTCTATTTTTCCCCATATATGTGTACTGTCATACAATGGATGTGTATGTGGAAGTGATAGTATGTTGTTGCTAACCCTCAATGTTAAATTTGAAGGGCTTGTGTGGGAATCCCTCTCAAGTTAGAAGTTTCGCGTAAAAAGCAAAATGACCGTCTTAAAAAAGTAGTTATATTGCAGGTATAAGGTTTTTCCAAATTTCTCATACATAGTTATCAAAATTTCTGAATTACAAGGTTATCATGCTGGACAAAGACAACACAAACTAATAATATGAAGTCAATTCACACATATTGCCAACCGTTCAATAATAATCCCTACGTCGGGCTCCGCAAAGCTGTACTGATGGGTTTTTTAAATAAACCCTTCCGTTGGCGGCACAACTCAAAATAGCATATTTACAAAATCACTTTTCAAACCAATCTCATCTTTCATTATTTATAAAATAGATGATTTTCCGCGGTTTTATCGCATAATTAATAAGTACTCCATATCCAGACATTTGGACTTGCACGCTCAGTCTGAGGTCAGGTCAGGTCATACTCAGGTCCAAATTTAACTGGTCAAATTAAAATATTAGATCTGGCAATGGTTGTTAATACTTTGCGCTCATGGTCAAATGGAAATTCCGAAATATGTTAAAATGGCAGGCCATGTTGAGCCGTTTTCTGACCAAATCGTGATACTGGGTTGACTGTTTACTATACAGTTTATATATAGGCATACCCAATGGCAAAACGGCTATCCGGGACCGTATTGCGTATACCGATTCGATTCCCAGTCCTTTCTCACAACCCATGAAAACCCAATCCCAGTCAAGTTCATATGAATATGATTAATAAGTGGAGATTCAATACTTACAGTGCACTGCCAACGAGGATTGTTGGAAGGAGAATGGATCCAGCTGTACCTTTTTTAGCTCTCCATCCTGTTGCTGGAGAGATTGTAGTGGTTCCTACTCCTGTCGTTGCATAAGCGACTGGGACCAATCTGCTTTAGGCTGTGCATCGGGTGGTAGAGGGAATCAACAATATACAAATTGCTGACCGACAGATTGAAATGACAGAATCAAGTTCATACCCAAGTTATACGGGCGTGTTGGAATAAAAAAAAATAAATCAAATCGTTCATGGTAACTGTGCACTTCGTTGTAACTTTTATTTCATTCTTGGCATCATTACAATTTTAGTTGAATAATCTATTTGCATTCGTACATAAGATTGTGTTCGCGGTGTCTGGCTCGCGTGACATTAGCAATTCTGAAGGGCGCACCATGAATCGATTAATACCGAAAAAGTTTGCATTTACAAATGCATGTAAATTATTTCGTGACAACTTGTAATTGCTACCACTGCTAATAAAATCTTACCAAATCATTACCCAAATTGAACACGTACATGACTCTGCGGAATTGGTAATTATATCTACCGGTTTGTGTACGTGGTGTACGTTTCCCCTTTGGATAGAACCCAACCTTGTAATAAGCAGCTCGTTATTGAATAAAACCAACCTCACAACGTATAGAGGATGTACTTCACACGTGGAAGAAATGTCTACCGCGAGGTAGTAAACTTTACCATTGCGATAAATGCATGTTCTTTGTAATGGTAAAGAATTCCTTCCTATTTCACCGTTTGTATACATTTGTCGCCGTATTGAAAGAATGTGGTAAAAAATTTTATTTATTCAACACTAATTATCAATAGTTCATGTAATACAAGACAAAAACGTAATTACTATAAACCAGCATTATCTCAATACATATTTCTATTACATATACATTGTATAAAGTATATATAATTGAAATATGTAAACCTTATAGAACAAAGTTATATAGTATGGTATATCGCTCTATATCTATGATATAAACATAAATTATGCAAATAGTTTATAACGTCTGTCTGACACTTATAAAATTGCCAACTGTTTAACATTTTTGCGTTATTTCAAAACAGTCATGTACATATAAGTCCTTTACATTTGTTATAAATAATGAATCAGAAAGTCTAGCCTTAAACGAAAAATAATGGGGATCAAAATTACATATCTACACGGGTAAATGTCTCCCATTGTTCTTAGTCGATTTTATATAAGTCCACATCGGTTAAAATCGTCATACAATATGTCCTAGTTAGTACGAAAACAAAATTAGTTTTAAATACACATCAATATGTAATTAATGAGTCTCGTCGTGGTCTTGGTTGGAGGTGGTTGTGCGACTCTCCCAACTTGTAATATTTTTACCATCTTATAAACATATGTGCATACTTACAAAAGTTGAAGTAAAGAATTGCTACTTAAATATTTTCGAGAAATTCAACAAATTGTGTGTGTTAATTGTTGTAAAAAACAAATATAACTGCTAAGTGTACTATTCTACGTCTTTTCATCATCATCCGGTGGGTGTTACAGGGATAGCGACGCCCTGCCTGTCATACCAGCTCGCTCTGAAGGGACGCCTGAAGGGCATCATGCGGGCGCATGGATATTTTGGGGACGCCTGAGACTATCCACTGCGTTTCGCCAAGAAATTTTTACAAGACCATGGTGACCATTTCAACATTTCTACTTTTCGACATTCTCATCTGTAACTCTAGGGGCGTTTTCCAGTTGAAGCATTGCTCCGCCGTGTCATGTGCTTGGAATGTCTGGAAGCCACGTACATACATCGTAACCCGAAACTTAGTATTATTGCTAGTTAATTTAAACGAAGTGTAAAATGCGTAATGAGAGAGAATGCACAACCACCAACTAAAGACAAGTTAACGTTATAATATTTATATTACTACGATGCCACAAGGAGACCCACGTCATTCAAGGCAGCAATGCATTGTGATGCTTTTAAGATACAGAGCTGAGTTAAAATGTCTTAAATTTTATAATGCTGAACTGATTATGCTGAGGGGATTTTTTCCCAATATTTTGCATGATTGTTAATTGATATGCAGAAAGGAATTTTATACCCAAATTTGTTTAATGGTTGATTAATTTAATTTACCATTACGGCTACTATTGGATAATTAGTAAGTAGTCTCGTCATAATTACTGCATAAGGAAAATAAAAAAACCAAACACATAAAATAAGTATATAATTAATTTGTGAAGGTTAGTATAATTTTTGCATGTAAACATTATTTAGTTAAGAATTGACAAAGGATTATAAACTGTCCTCCTTATCACGCACCTTTAATTTACTTGTACTTAAGTAAAAAATATTGCGGAAATGAAACATTCTAGTTTTTCAGTTTTGATTGCCACCTATTCCTTTGTTTATATAAATTTACCCTTACAGAGCAAAGTACTTGTCGTATCTGTATTCAAATTTAGGGGTTAATACTACAAATTTCTGGGAGTTTTGGCGTTTCTTGCATTCCCTGGGGATCAAAATACCTGCATTAAAGCAATTCCTTGAGGTTATTTCTAGCATGCGGTTTCTATTACCTGAAACACTGGTTAAAACGCAAATATCTCCTTGGCCACACATTTAAAACAATATGAAATTTATCAAATTTACAACAGTTTCGTTGTAAAAGAATGGGCATTTCTGAACCAATTTTGCTGGTTTTGGTCTTAAAATGTTCGCAAGGACTTGCAACTACCTCTAGAAAACTACCTACCTTAGTGTTGTGTGATACTCCGGTAAATTACGATATGTACATATTAAGAAGTGTGTAAATTTTCCCACTTGTTTGCCCCGTTGATGTGATTGTGTCCGTTGTCAGGAAAATGCTTCGGGAAGAGTAAAGGACTTCCTGAGAGAGACATCCGTCAGCTATTCACAATTAGCTTGAACTACTACAAAAAAATTGCATTCCATGGAAAGACACAAGATTGTGGTCAGATTGAAAAATAAATTATTCCAACATACGAATAAGCTAAGTTTAAATCTCCTTAAATAATTTCCGTGTTTTGCACCTCAGGTAGGATATTCAATTCAAAAATAGTTCCCGCCCTATCGTCGCCCCATTTACGATGCGGGGTGCAATGTTACTTTTTATACCTGGCTTGTTCTTTGGATGGTTGGGTGTGAGTGGCGATAGGGTAAGTCACTTTGATCTCAAAATATAAATATCCGCATTAAAAATATTACTTGGATTAAGGAATCAAAACCAAAGGAGGGTGAACCTTGTAGCAGTTATGACGATTGTCTTACCCACACGAAAGGAAGGATAAACAATACTCTTCAAAGTGAATATTTATAATATGCGAAATTCGGCTCAAAGGAGGCAAACATATTTTGAAGTTTGTACCGGTTATTAGTGCGGAATTAAAATTTGACACTCGACAAAATAAGAAAATATCTTTAGCTCATGTCGCGTTAAATCGGTTACCGAAGAAAAATCATTTTTGCCACTTTCTAATCCATCGGATTCACGGGACATTAAACTGAAAATAGAACTCTTACATAGAGCATATAGCTAGAATTTATCACCTAGAATAGAGATTTATACTGGTACTCCGAGGAGACAGGATATCATAGATATGGCGAATATGCAAACACATTAAATAAATATTTCACGAAGTCGCTGAAGCCTTGACATACTTAAGTATTTTGTTGAACAAATATTCTCCGACCATTTAGTCAACAAGGAATTTGATTCACTTGGTGTCATGGGTATTCTTACTAAAAGTTGGTTTAACCACCACGCAACAGATACCTCCATACGAAATTCCGGTTAAAAATTATAATATGCGACATATTTGTTTACGTATGAAAAACCCCATGTCAGCCCAAACCTGGCGAATTTTGCACGCAATGTCAACAACATATTTATATAGGACGGCATGTAAATATGTACCTATTTAGTTGCTTATACTTCCTCAGCATCGATATAAGAATGTAACATTTTGTGAAACAAATATTGTTTGGACAAATGTGTCGTGACTATGTGTTTGACTTTGGGATGGTTTAGTTAAAGTAATGAAATTTCGTAAATAATTTATATCAAGTTTATTCGAACCAGAATAGCTAGTGCAATATTTTTTTAAAGCATATTGTTTCATTTTACTCTGCCCGTATACCTCAATAAATGCTCGGATGTAGTTAACCTGGTAAATATTTTACATTTTATCATATTTTGCCTAAACGGCTTAACATTTACGTAAAATATGACACAACTATGTTGCAACTTGGTTTTCGTCCTACTATTGCGCTGCATTTCAGCCTCGTTTAATTTTAATTTGCAAGATATAGAGGGCCTAATACCACCTAGATCTACGCTACAACTGATAAGCGATTTCGGGCTGGACAATGAAATACCTTGGAAGGCTAAACTATCAATACATCTTCTTCAAAACCAAAATTTTCTCAAAGTATTGCGTAACGTGCCAAAAGAACACGTTATCACAACCAACAAATATTATGCTTCTTGTGACAAAAACGAATCCCTGAATACAAAATATTTAGGTCACTCAGTTACTCGGATTTCATTAATATTCCTTCACCAAGTTACAACTGAATTCGAAAAATGTAGTCTCATCCAAACCCGGGAAAGACAGAGTCATTGTGGGGAAAATCCAGCCTATATTTTCATCATTTTATCCCATATAAACATCGAAACATTCAGAATTTCTTCCGATTCGGCATTAACATCGAAGTTATTATCAATTAAATAACATAAATCACCAGAGGTATCTAATTCTTCATCGTCGAGTTCGATGTTATTGTCTGGGTGGGCAGGACCAGCTGCTAGTTGACTGCATCCTGGCGAATTCGTTGTTCCGCTTCCTTCAACAAGTTGCAGAAATGGGAAGACAGGGTCTTGGGACATTACAGATGGGGCCGACATCATATGACGACCCCCATATGATGAAAGCATCCGCCGTCAACAAACTGAACAGTAGGAGGTCCAGGACTCCAAGTTCCACTCGGAAGGCGATGAGGGCATAGATCGAGAAGGTTTGAACCAATGGTCCCGCAAATGTGAGGAGGAGCATGATTCTATTTTGAACACATTCGTTCAGCATGACCTCCAAGATGGTGAGCATACGGTACATTTGAACCACGTCATTGACCCGATTAGCCAAATCGTACGCCTTTAGATATCCATACAGCAACCTGCAATTATCATAAATTATTTTTGACAGTGAATAATGTTTTAGAGAAAGCTGAAATTATCATATTATCTATTTAACA